GGGGAGAGAGAGAGGGAGAGAGCAAAAGTTTGTTTTGGAGATTAGTGCGACTGCTCTTGCGTGGCCCCTTATATGCGGCGCGCAGGGAGCACTTAGGGTGGGGGCCTCCTCGAGTACTTCTCCAAATAATTATGGTTTCATAGTCATTATGCTTTAACGGCCGTCATTTGGCGATGCAGGCAGTGTCTGTTACGTAAAGTTTCAGAATGGAAATGAGAGTGCGGCGGGTAAAGATCCGAGCTGTCAGTTTTTTGAGAAGCCGCACAGACAGCAGATGTTGCCAGGCAGACAAATGTATCTACGGCAGAGAGGAGATTCCACATTTCCACTGCACAGAGCTCTCTGCTTCTACGCGTGTCTGTGCCTTTTGACTGCTGGCATGCATCACTGTAGTTAATGCTTGTGTGTAGCGGCTGTGCGCACGGGATTCCTAATAGCAGTGGATTCCATATTGTTTCCAACATTAACTGAGCGATGCCTTTGGCTTTGCTGCACAAGAGCACTTGCAGGGCACAGAGCGCTGAAACTTGTAAGATGTGATTATTGTTCAGGCTTATTTTAATTAAATAGGACATCATAATATTTTTTTGGGAACTAAAAGATACAATGTGGGCAGTGTTTTGTTTATTTTTAATTAACTTTTCATTTGGTGGAACTTTATCCACAGCAGACATTTCTGCACATCATAGTAAACAAAAGAACGGTGTAATTATTAGTGTGACGCGTTCCGTTTAGGTGTTTTCTCTAAAACATCGTAAGAGTCTAAATGTTTGCTGTGAGAAAGTCCTGCAGAAGGAATCAGTGATTCTGATGACTCGAATAAAACTGGAGTTAACTAAGCTCATCTGGAGGTCACTGCAGTTCCTCAAATGTCCACTTGAGGCTCGCGCTGAGAGTGAATGCTCAACTTTACAAAAGGAAATAAACAGGTTTCAAACTGAAACAAGAAAAATTGTTTTTGTCTTTATTGCTAATTTATGTCTTCATAGCAACCCTGAGGTAGCTTATATATATCTCATTGTATTAACTGTATCAAGGCTCCATTGCACTGCAGGAGCTGTCTGCTCGGCTCGCCTCAGATGATCTGAGTCACTGATCTGGACTGATGTGGTGTTTGTCAAGTAGTTAACGAGCCCATCGTAACTTAAAGACCTTCCAGTACCTTATTATGCTAGTAGAGCACTTCACTCTCTGACTGCAGTCTTACTTGTGGTTCCTCTGGTATTTAAATTATAGAATGGGAGGCAGAGCCTTCAGCTTTCAGGCTCCTCCTCTGTGAAACCAGCTCCCAGTTTGGTTTCAGGAGACAGACAGCCTCTCTACTTTTAAGATCAGGCTTGAAACTTTCCTTTTAGATAAAGCTTATAGTTAGGGCTGGCTCAGGTGACCCTGAATCCCCCTTAGTTATGCTGCGATGGGCCCAGGCTGATGCAAGTATTTCTTCTTTGCATTCGGTTACAGCAGATGGCCCCACCCCTCCCTGATCCTGGTTCCTCTGTGGAGGTTTCTTCCTGTTAAAAGGGAGTTTTTCCTTCCTACGGTTGCTAAGCGCCTGGTCATAGGGGGTTTGTCTGATTGTTGTTGTTTTTTTTAATATTATATTGTATTTTGTAGGGCAGTTACTCTACTATATAAAGGACCTCGAGGTGACTGTTGTTGTGAATTGGTGTCATAAGGTCTCAGCCACTTGACCTTCGCCACAGGTGCCTTCCCTCACCTTGCGGTACAGTCTGTTCCAGCGGGTGAACAGGGCGTGCTTGCAGAGACGTGAGGGTGTCCCTGAGTCTCGTCTCCGTCCACTTGCGGTGTTGACCACCTCCAACTGTGCGTCACCCAACGTCCAGTTGACGCTCACACATGACGCCTTCCCCGGCTGCTGATAGTCGGCACTGCTCAAGCCTATGTGGAAGACAAGAAAATACAAATGACATCATGACATGTCACATGGTTTTGTGAGTGAAATTTTGCATCTGTATGTTTTCTGAACCTCTGCTTTGTTATCCCACCCTCGCCTCACTCTTGCTCTGAGGCTGGAAGACGTACAGGTTTGCAGGGATGCACAAAAACGATACGATGGCTATGTAAGTATTATAGTTTTGATACACCTTTAGAGAGCAGGTTGGAAAAGTAATGAAGCACATAAGCAATGTCTTTTTATGCTGTAAATATCATCTCCAGACTCTAAGATCGACTGCTGCCTACACTGGACTGTCACTCTGTTCTCCACTCTCTACATTTCTTTTTGAAATAATTAGCCTCGCAGCAAAGCACACAAAGCGATCAGCAGAGGTAAGTGAAAGAGAGACAGCGGTAGATGGAAAGTGGAAGTGAGCGGCGATCACACGGCCTCCGTGGAGAGAATTAGCCGCCTGCACTGAGAACACAGGCACTGGCAGAGGTGCTGGGCCTGTGGCGGGAACAGAGCTGACAGCAGGGTGAGGAGCAAATGAGGGCTCAAGGCACAATGTTCCTGAGAGGCCAGCGTGGGCGTTTCATAGAAGCTGCATAGGAGTTTGGATTCACACCCGATTGTACAGCCTGAAGCAGGAGAAAATGTTGAATCTAAGCGGCACTTTCTGGGGCAGAAAATGTAACAAATATGGAGTGCCAAACTCTGCGTTTCTTCAAAAGGCCACTTGAGGCTGGATACAAAAAGCAAGTCAATCCCCAGATACTCCCAAGTTAAAATGCCAATTTTTACTGCAGAAATAACTATATTTAAATCCTGGTACAAGAAAAATTTTGATCTCTATTGCTAATATGCCTTTCACACAGTACGGGTGTGGATTGCTTTACAACTTAACCATTAAATTATCTCATGTATTAAAGATATATTAAAGTTTGCAGATTTTCAAATTCTCACCACTAGATGTCAGTAGATTGCAGATTGCAGTTAACTGAGTTCTGTTTTTGTACCCCTCCCAATTCAAGTACATAATCCTAGCTGCTATGTTTCAGTCAGCCAAAAGAGATCAAAACTATATTTAGATCACATAATAGTTGTGGCCAGTCGGCATATTTCTACCAGCCTACTGATCAAATCCAGTTCTAAGGAACACTTCCAGCCCGCTGTTTACCTCAGCTGTCAATGCCGAGTGAGAAGTGTCCACCTTTATTTACTCTGGAAGAGGCTGTAAAACTTTCTGAAAGGATCCGATACAGGTCAATGAGCCGGAGAAGCGCTCTTTTGATCGATGACAGTCATACTGAAGTGAGTTGTTAGGTAGCAGTGTTGTTTTTGCTGCTGTTGGCTGCAGTTCATTTGTGAAACTTTCTCAGAAGTAGATGAAACAGTTTGAGGCATTTAGCAAATAAATCCTCATACAATGTGACAATATAAACAAAATGTTTATCAGAAGGAAAGAAAAGGAAAGGATACTCGAGTCTAATGTTAGCTGGCATAATGTTAGCTTATAACTAGCTGTTGTTGTAGCCTGCTCTTCCCATTTATCCAGTTATGGGAGGGTCGCATGTCTAACCTGCTGACAATTAGTAATTGTGACAATAATAAGCATATTTATACATGTTTTGTGTCTTAGAGCCCTAGCTTTAGTTCAGCAGATGAAGCTTGAGATGAAGAGGATGTCATTTTATTAAGATGCTAGTGCCGCTGATGACTTTTTTTTATTCTCCACCTTTGGCCCACTACGTATGTAGCCGGTCTCTAACCACATACATAGTCGGAGGGGAAATGTCCTTCCCAGCCACAGCATTTAAATATAGTGGGGAAACATGGCAATTCCAGAAACTGCGAACCCTTTCCCATATATTCGTCTTTGTAAGTTTATGAGAATGCATCAGTTTGTTAGAAGATGTAATTATCATTATTGTAATGATCAGTACAATATCTTTTTTTTATTTAAATAACTTAAAAAAATTACTGACTGTACCTTTAAGTATAAATTTGTTGCCATAACAGGCACAAACTACCGGCTACATATCACCTCGGCTTATTCTCTTAACTGCATTGCTCAAGTGTTTTTAGTGATATTTATTTATATATTAGCACGAGGGCGATTGTAGCTCAAGAGTTGGGAGTTCGCCTTGTAATCAGAAGGTTGCCGGTTCGAGCCCCGGCTTGGACAGTCTCCGTCGTTGTGTCCTTGGGAAGACACTTCACCCGTTGCCTACTGGTGGTGGTCAGAGGGCCCGGTGGCGCCAGTGTCCGGCAGCCTCGCCTCTGTCAGTGCGCTCCAGGGCGGCTGTGGCTACAATGTAGCTTGCCATCACCTGTGTGTGAATGGGTGGATGACTGGATGTGTAAAGTGTTTTAGGGGACTAGTAAAGCGCTATACAAATACAGGCCATTTACCATTTTAATTAGCACTTATCCATGAACCAAACTAATTTGTAGTAGCTGATAAATTTGTACTCCAAACATGGTCCATTCGGCCTCTAAAAACCGACATGACAAAGGCCAACACGCCAAATGCGAGACCTCACATTGTTGGTCCACAAACAAATGGGTGCCTCAGCCATCTGTCATGCACAGTCTGTGGTTAAATCACATAGGACAAATGCCTCCTAGAACTAAATTTTGATTGTATATTTGTATGTACACTAATTGAGATCATGTGTTATCCATTGATAACTGCTGTATTTTATCTAAAGCTACCTTTAAAGAACTAGAAGGCTTTTCTGGACTACTACAGAAGCATACTGGGCCCACTCCCTATGTAGATAGAAGAGATGTACTTAGAGGCGATTATATGCTAATGAAAAATAAAATCAATACTGTATTACATTTCTAAGAATAGAGCCCTGTAAATTCTGCACACTGGAGCATTAATAATCACAGCTATAAGATGTCTTTAAAAAGAATCGCTGTCTTTGATTCCAGCTTGAGTTATTTATTACATCATGCAACATTAAAGGCTCCCCTTATAGAAAATCAGCGGGCAGAGTCTCTGTGACGGCTGAATAACAGTTGCTTCTGATCTCATCGCCTGACAGACAGCTTGTTATATTACAATACCAGATCTACAATACCACAATACATGCCTGCAGATCATTTCCTCCTTTTCCACACTGATTTTCCTGTCTTCACTCTTCCATTTACCAATCTCACCTCTCCTTTTCTGTTGCTCCTTGGAGCTGGAATGAATCGCCTGCCACGGTAACAATCCTCCGTGTCTCTTATGTATTACCCATCTCTTCTCTCTTGTGCAGACGCACCTCTTTGAACAAAAGACCCTCCTATCCATCCTGCTTTTTTCCACTCCTCTCGCTCCATTCATGGCTCATTTCATCCCTTCAATGGGCTTGACTCCTCTGTTTCTGTAATAGCCAATTTGATGTTTCCTTCATTGAGGACTTGATCAATTTCTCTTCTGGGAAGTGTTTGGCAGACATGAAAAAGGCAGAATTAAAGCCTTTGGTTATGGGATTCAGAACTGTACAGTACACACAGGAGCAGCTTAATATCTGAGGCTGCTGTGCGTTCATGTGTACACAGTGCATCTATCCTGCATTATTGTAGTACTGCAGGGCTGTAAATGTGTGCTTTGTTGGGTGGAGAAGAAGTGGAGGAGAAGTGAAGCAACAGGTTTGTGAAAAGAGGAACTTACTCATTTTCTGTGTCAACGACTGGATTATAAATGAACAGTTGCTGGCTCAAATCCTTTAAAACAATTTCTATAAACATAATTTAAAGGCCCGATTTTAAAGAAAGGTAACCCAAGAAAAGAGAAAATGCAGATTTTAAATTGATTTCATTCATTAAGGGAAAAAAGCTATCAAACTCTATTTGCCCCTATGTGAAAAAGTAACAGTCCCCCTTGTTAAGTTATGAATTCACTGTGATTAACCACATTTTTTGGAAAGCTGAGTTCAGTTTCACTAGCCACACCCAGGCCTGAGCACTCGTTGACCTATTGGATCAGGAAATCCTTTAAATAGAAAGTCTTTGTCAAAGCAAAGTAGACTCAAATATCTCACACACATCGTGGCAAAATCTAAAGCAACTCAAGAACAGCAGAGTCAGTCTGGAAAGGGTTACAAAGGCATTTTAGGACTTCGGAACTCCAGCAAACCAAGGCTGGAGGAAAACTGAGGAAAACTACGAACAGCTGGAGTGGCCTAGTCAAAGTTTGGACATAAATCCAATTGAGATACTTATGCATGACCTTAAACAGGGATTCATGCTCGAAACCCCTCCAGTGTGGTTAAAGACCTGCAAAAAGACCAACCATGACCCAACATTTTACGGTACATGGCCGCCTTCATTGGCCTCTTAGTGTGGTAAAGTTAGCAAAAAATCAGCCCCAAAGCATTATGTTTCCACCTCCCTGCTTGACTGTGGGGACGGTGCTCTTTGGGTCACACACAGCATTTCCCTTCCTCTAAAAATGAGACATCAAGTTGATGTCAGAGAGCTTGATTTTGTTTTATTTGATCCCTGCAATTTCTCCTAAGCCTTCTCCTTTAGATGTTTACTGGCAAACTTAAGACGGGTATGTACATTTGCCTGCTTAAGCAGGGGGACCTTGTAGGTACTGCAAAATTTCAATCCATTATGGTGCAGTAGGTTACCAATGCGGTTCTTGGTGATTGGGGTCTCAGCTGAGGATCTGTCACCTTTCTTATGATCATCCCATGAACCATCATCTTTCAATTTCTTCCATTGCCGAATGAACACACCAGGAGTTGTCACCTTGTTACCAAACTTCTTGCTGATGGTCTTGTAGCTCAGTCCAGCCTGCGCAGATCTGCAGTCACTGATGTCTTTCGACAGCTCTTTGGTCTTGTCCATGGTGGTGGAGAAGATGGAATGGAAGAAATTGATACTGTAGGCAGCTGAGCTTTATGCAAATAATGAGCTGAGATCAGGAGCATCTGTAATTGATTGATTGATTGATTGACTGCAATCTGTGTGCCACATGGACATATAGCCAATCTGTGGAAGCCAGAATAGTAGCTGGGTTGTCAGAGATCAAATACTTATTTGACTCAATGACATGCTCAACAGCTTCTGGGTTCATTTGAGGTCACAGGAAAAGACCAAGTGCAGAAGGGGAAGAACTCTTATAATTTAATAAAGTTGATTTTAGAGTGTTTATGAAGAAATAGATTTATTGTTATAATATGTATTGATTACACCACAGAGTTTATGTTGCCAGTAAAGAGGAGTAGTAGAGGTTTGAATTTAATCATGTTCATCTTACCTACCTACTGAATGGAATAGTCCAGAGGAGAAATTGTTTGGTTAATTGGACTATTTAAGCAGAAGAACTCAGGTGTTTCAGGACAAAGGTTCAGGTCAGTGTAGCTGTGTGCAGTTTGACCTTAATTTCCGTTGATTTAAGTTCAATTATGTTTATTTGAACTGAGTTAATTATAGAGTTGAGTTTCTTATTTGTTTCTTTGTAAATATTGTTTGGGTCACAAAATGGTGAATAAATCACTTGCTACACTGGACAGCATCAGTCTCCTGCACTTCTTTGACCGCATAAGTCGAGTCCTACCACAACATTAATTTATAATTTTTATGTAATGTTTCTTTTAAAAAAACCAAATTTTTAGGTTGATTTTCCCAAAAAATAATAATAAAAAATAGTAACTGATCATTTTATTGTAAGTGAGCAAACTTATAAATTCAGCAGAGGATCAAATGTTTAAAAGCACCACTGATGGACTGCCGATGATTACTTGATGTTAATATGTAATGAGTAACTGATTACATTTTTTTCAAGTAACTTTCCTCACAGTGACATCATCTTAATGCAAATATGTATCAGACCTCAGAGCAGCAAAAGCTAAAATATGAATTTCAACACGTAGAGAAAAGAGGGTGTAGCTGTAAAACATGCATGTGCGCCGATCTATCTGCAAAGCTCCAAAAGTAGAGCACGAACATTATTAATGTTTCCTTTATCTGCTGTTGTTCCGATTCCTCTTATCCCGAAACAACAAAGCCCCGCCACAGTTTGCGTTCGCTCAACAGCAGGACGAGGAGTGAAGGACAAGCCGGTCCATCGATGCGTTTGGCCCTCAGGGTTCAGGTGGAGCTGCTTTGGCTGTGTGTGATAAGAACGGGCCCTGCGATCCCCAGGAATTTCTTCTGGGGGTGTCGCTTTTAAATAACCCTGGACTCACAATAGCCTGGGAGCTCATCAGAGGCAATGAAAGGCTGGCGGAGGAGATGAGAGGAATGGGAGGGGGCGATACACGTGCAGACATCTGAATGCGAGTGAAGCTCTGCGTTTCTTTATTCCCGCCCTGCCTTGCTGTCTCCCCTTGTTTTCCTCAGCCTGTCTCTCTCTCGGTACGAGCTCCCTCTCAGATTGAATGGCTGTCCGATAAGGGCTGTGATTACATTGATTTGGCGTAGGGCCATCTCCACTCTCTGTCCATCTCTCTCCCTGCCTTCACCCTTCAATAAACTACTCATAGTACTGCATGTGCAAAGATCTGACAGTCTGAGACACACACACACACAGAAAACACACAATCGCTGTTAGAGAGGACGACAGAGCATGTGCAGGACACCTCAAGAAATGGCGTAAAGGACATTCGACAGCATTAGTGTGGCTTTAACTGGTGTGAAAAAGAACCTGTAACAGTCATTAAACACTCTTTGCAGCTATGATAAAAAACGGGATAAGGAAGAACGATGAACGAAAAGATCAAACCTGACCACAATTTTCCAAATATTAACCGCAGCTTGTAATATCTAAAAGCAAAGACTCAAATGACTCCATTTAAAAAGCCAAATCATGAGAAATGCTCGCTGAGGCTGCGGTCTGAGGGTTCAGTGATAAATTCAACCCAGCAACCATCACCAGAGGACATTTCAGCACAATTATCAATCTCGATAAGGACGGGCCTCAGAAAATCTTCGCCACCAAGGCAACCAGAGAGCCCCTGCGCCCTTCAAGAAGAGCATGCAAAGCCATGTATAGTAGATATGGAGATGTTAGCCACAGAGAGCTGTTGATATGAGATAATGTGTTTCCCTGTAAATGACTGTCACTCTCTTTGTTTATATCAGTGATCCCTAGCAACCAAATGTGTCCTACATCTCTGTGCGTGCCTGTCGCTCAGCGGCTCTGCCTGGCCTAGATCTGAAGTGATGGCTGATGCAGTTTCTACCAGTTGGGTGTCATTCACATCCTCTTCCAGCATTCATCCTCACTACAAACACAAGCCTCGAGTCTCAGCGGAGCCCTGGAAGCAGACGCGCCAAACAACTTCTTAGTTTTTGCTTGTCTGACTGGCAAAATGTAAGTGTAGAGAAGAAGTGGTGTACGAGTTTGCTAAGAGTGCGAGAACGTGTGTTTGTGTGTGTGTGAGAAGGGGGTGTAACATATGATCTGTTATGATGCATCGCGCCTGTAGCTGACATTCCTTAAAAAGAATACGTGAAAACAGAGTACTGTACACGAGGACATTCATGTAGTGCAGATCTCTAAGCATGTGTGGGTAAGTCGCTATATGAAGGCAGGGTGAGAATAGAAAGCAGACTGTAAGCTGAAAAGAGGAAATACAGAAAAGGCTGAAAGTGATCCAAGCACAGAATACATGTTTAGTGGGTTTTAACAGTTTTGCTGAGTAGGCTACAGGCTGGTGCTTGTGTTTAAGGATATTTTAGGGGTATTCCCAAGAAACAACCTGTTGTTTCCGAAAGTGAGTTAATCCACATTGAAGATCACTTTACAGGAGACTCAAACATGTACTTTTAGTATTCAAAGTAATATCAGAATAACTTGGGAGCTATGAATGTACTTTGCTAATCAAGCTAGCTAGCTTCTGCTCTTACACTTGAAAGAGGAACCTACATGTTTATCCTACCATAGACTTTAAAGTTATCAATAAAGTTAATGGACTATTATTTTGAAGCCTTGGTTTTGTCATTTTGGCCCACAAAACACAGGATTTTGAAACACGATCTGACTGTATATGGATGACAGGGTGTAGGTGGAGAGGACTACAGGGATCACCCAAGAACACTAGGCCGAATATAGCCCACCTAACAGGACAGTCAGTTTATCCAATTTAAATCCCACTCTTCAAGTCTCTATCCTTCTGCTGGTGTGCCCCAGGGTTCAGTATTAGGGCCTCTTTTATTCATTATCTACATGCTCCCTCTTTGCCAAATATTGTGAAAACATAATATCAATTTTCATTGTTATGCTGATGACACCCAGCTCTACATTTCCTCCAAACCTAATTCATCCCTTCCACCTTCTCCCTCTTGAACTGTCTTATGGAGATCAGATCTTGGTTCTCCTCCAATTTTCTCAAACGTAACAGTAATAAAACAGAAGTTTTACTTGTTGGCACAGCCTCTACCTTAACCAAATCTCACAGTTTCTCCATTAAAATGGAAAATTCCCCCATCCTTCCTTCCCCGCAGGTAAAGAGTTTGGGTGTCACACTTGACAGTACTCTCTCATTTCAGTCTCACATTAATTACATAGCCCGGTCTGCATACTTTCACTTACATAACATTAACCGACTTCGTCCCTTCCTTATTCCCCATGCTGCTGCCATCCTTGTCCATAGTCTCAATACTTCCCGGATCGATTATTGCAACTCCCTCCTATTTGGTCTCCCCAGTAAGTCCCTCCATAAACTTCAACTTCTTCAGAATTCTGCAGCTCGGGTCATAACTCGTAACTCCCCTAAGAGACTATATAACTCCAATTCTTCAACAGCTTCACTGGTTGCCCATAGAAGCCAGGATAAACTTTAAAATATTAGTTCTCACGTTTAAGTGTATTCACAACCTTGCCCCTCCTTATCTCTGTGATCTGCTTCATATCACTACAGTTTCCCGCTCTCTCAGATCTTCATCTGCCACTCATCTTGTTGTTCTTCTGCTCGTCTTATCACTATGGGTCACAGAGCTTTCAGCTGCTCCTCAGCTCTGGAACTCACCTCGTTCATCCTTAAGAAATATAGATTCCCTTCCCTTATTTAACTCACAACTCAAAGCCTACTTGTTTAAACTGGCTTACTCTCTTTAATACAGATTTTACTTGCTGTCAAATAGTAGTTTTTTTATTTATTTTTTTAAATTTTGTTGTTTGTGGCTGTATTTTGCTGGTTTCTGTATTTTAATTTATTAGAATCTATTTTAATCTACTGTTTTATTGATGTCTTTTTCTCTTTGTAAGGTGACCTTGGGTTTTAGAAAGGCGCCCTCAAATAAAATGTATTATCATTATTATCATTATTATCATTATTATTATTATAATGCTAACACTGAAAGTCCAAATCCAGTGGGCTACATTGGATTAGATCCCCCACATCAGGTAATTTTTTCCATGTAGTTTTCAATTATAATGACCATCACAATCTTGACATTTGGGACCTGTTTAAAGCAATGCCACCCAAACTTAAAGCAGACAAAAAAAACACCCCTCAGACCTTTATGTGCTACATCAGAAGCAAAAAGTAAAAGTATATTGAAAAGATTTTTTTACTGTGTCACTTTCTATTGTGTGGAGACTTCCCAAAGTGCATAGAGTGTATTTATAAGTGTATTTTACAGCTACTGCCCAGAGTTGCTGTGTGGCTGATTATGTTGTGGTCATACCGCTGAGCAGGGGCTGGTTGCGTCTGTATGTGGCAGGCAGTGGGCCCAGGCGCTCCTGACGCTGGTTCAGAACTCTGCCCAGATGGCCCGTGTGACGCAGGCTGCCAACGGTCATGCTATGCAGGTACACTGGTTCCACAAAATGGCTCAGCAATGCCCCCTGCAGGCCCAGGATGTTCCATCTAGGGGTAGGGAGGAGGTGGGAGGAAGAGAAGAGAGAAGAAGTTAAGGAGGGAAGAGAGGAGAAAGGATGGAAGGAACAGCATTCGTGAAAATGTGGGCGAAGGTGCGAGTGTAGGATGAGGTGTGTGGGTGAAAGGAGAAACGAAACGCAACAGTTGGCCAAAGATACGAAAAGGAAGGAGGAGATGGAGGGGTGGAGGGGTGGAGCGGTGGATAGAGAGAGGCAAAGTGGGGAAAATGAGACAACGAGGCAGATGTGAGAGCTTCGATGACAGGTGGAGACAATTTGATCATTATCTTGATGTGGGACGTGATGAATAGCAGCAAGTGACCACACACGCTCTTCACGCATAAACGTCCTCTTCCCCCAGAAACACAAACTGGCATCACCAACAACAACACCGCCAAAGGTCAGTACATCAGCATTCATTACCTGGAACAACACATTACCACGTGTGCATTCATCAGTGCCACGGAGGTTAATACACTGCAGGGCTGCAGGAGAGCCTCAGTCGACTGATCGCTGCACGCGGATCTCCTTGTGGTTTGTTTAGCGATCCACAAGTGACACAAAATCACTGTGGGGCTAATCCCGCAGGCCATGTGGGCACCTCAAAGTGTAGCCAGCAGCAGATGCTAATTTATACATATAAAATGATAATTAGCGTGTTTATTATAATCCCTGCCCTTCGTAAATGAAGAGGAATCCTGCTGTTTACCTGAGCTGTGCACCGGAGTTACATCAGAGGCTTCTAATTTTTACATCACTGTTCTTTTTGTTAATCAATGTCTCCTTATCATGGATGCAATTACACCCCGCGTCCCCCCCCACCACCCCTTCCCAGCTTAATAATCACTCATTACAGCTTCCTTTGCTTCCCCAAGCAGTCAATTAACATCACCGGCTTTCTGGGAATCACTTAAATGGGCTCACAAAGCAGCAGCCCGCCCGTCTCTGCTTTACCTGCAATCTGTCACCAAGATCTGTTCTTCCTTCCCAAACAGAGAGGAGGAATTTTGTTCAAAAAGCAACGCGCGCACGCCCAAACAGAAAATACTTTAGCCTGAAATATTAATTTACCCAGAAAGCGACACCGTGAATCAGAAACATCTTCTAATCTCATGCAAGAAAAGACAGCCATCTGGCTTGGGCGTGTGAATCTAGAGAGAGGAGAGGGGAGAGGACCTCCTCTTTCTCTCTCTCTCCCACCCTCAGTAAACGCCGACCATTAAAGTAATGTGTTCATCTGCATAAAACTGCGGTGGAATGGAGAACATCATCGTTATATGAAAGCCATTTAGGCCCCTCAATTAAATCCAGCTGTCGGCTTCGAATCAAATATTAGTGAAGAATCTTCACCGAGGCCCCGGCCTTAAGAAAACACGACGACAATCGGCGGGTGATGCAACGGCCACTGTTATCAGCTGTGTTTATGATAAGAGCAAAGATCCTAATATCCCCTCTGGTCAAAAGCTGAACTAACGATAATAAAGTGCAGGAAGTGGGAGGAAGTGGAGGGGAATAAAAAAGTAATGGGAGGTTGCAAAATGAGCGTGACAGAGGACAAAAAGAGTATCCAGGGGATTGCTTTAAGATTGCAGTGTGTGCTGGTGTGTGTGTGTGTTCACTCTGTAGCTCTAAGCTCCTCTCACTTCCACCTTCCACTCCTGACCTTGATAAACTGGCCCTCTGTGACCCACTCAGTTTAACGACGGCCACCGATCATTTACAGCGATATAAAAAAAAGAGGAAAGAGGAAGCTGTGGAGCAGTGAGAGCGCGTCTGCTGTCTGGCCGGGCGGGATGTGGTGAAGAAGGTGGTGAGCGGGTGGGCGGCGGGGGAGGAAAGCAGGGTTGTCCCTTCTCCCTCCCCCGTCACTCTATTTTTTTGTAAAGTAATTGCTTTCACCCCTGTTGGTGACCTGGGTAGATTTAATCACACCATCTCCACCCCTGGCCAACTGAATCAAATTGGTCAAATTAACAGCGGCTACACAGGAGAAGGGTTCACCTCTCGCTCGTGCGCTCTCTCTTTCTCTCTGTGTCTGTGACACACACACGCGCGCGCACAGCAGCGGCTCAGCTGTAGTCCTGTGCGGCTCGGCTGGCACAGCGTGGTGCTTACTAAGCTAAATTCACGGGTTCGGCTCCTGTTGAGGCAGAATCGTGGCAGAACAACTGAGACTATATTAAAAATTGATTTCAGATATTTCAGAGAACGTCAGGTGTAGAAGAGAAGAATTACAATTGTTGAATTTCTTTACTCGGTACAGCGGTAAATGTTTTTAGCCGTGCTAGCAAATCTGGAATATTTCAGTGGGAAGGAATGGCTTTACTGGAGACAATCAACTATTTGTGACATGCCGTTATAAGGGCTAAATTTGTGTTTGAGCGATTATTACTTTGTTGTAACGATGCTTCTTGGCAATAAATCTTATCATGTGTGAAAGTTTATTTTTCCTTAAATGGTGCCACATTTGTAAGGGAAATGCATTTGTTGGTTGCTCCCATGAAAAACTTGCCAAATTTTTCTGTCAATGTCAAACAGCTTATTCGGCTTCATGGCCTAGGTTCAGTAAGATGCTGGAAACATTCCTCAGAGAATTTTGTTCATGTTGACATGACAGCATCACACAGGTGCTTGCAGATTCTTCAGCTGCACATGCATTTAGCAAATCTCCTGCTCCCCCACATCCAAAAGGCGCTCTGTTGGACTGAGATCTGGTAAGATCAAGAACATTTGAGCTTTGTGACACAGCATTTTATCCTGCTGCAAGCACAAAGGAAATTTCTGGCACAACTTCACCTGCTTCCAAGGTGCACTGGGGAAGAGCAATAATCTAAAGAGGCCGAAGCTCCACCAACACTAGTGGTATGAAGAATGACTTTATTACCCGATCAACATGTTTTAGCCTGTGGCCTCTGCCAGGCCATCCAGGTGGTGTATAAAGGAGGCAAATATCCCCACACTACTGCACCACCATCAGCACAGGATGGCTCCATGCTTTCATGATGTTTATGCAAAATTCTGACCCCACCATCTGAATGTTGCAGCAGAAACTGAGCACAGCCATAATAATAACAGATTTATTTACTATTAGAATCATTATAATCACTTATCACCTCTAATACCACCTCACCATTTTAAATTTGCAATGTATTTGGAAATATATTTAACATTATTACGTTTTTTGCATGTGTAGCAGCCTCCAGTGTGACCACACTTAAGCCTCTACTCTTCACACAAGGACAGCGTGAAGCTGGAGGCAGAAGAGTAAAGCTGTCCTGATGTAACGTGGCCATCTGTCCTAAACTGGCCTGACAACATGTGGACATGGGTTCTATAGTAGTTTTGCTCTCTCATCATATATTACTGGGTCACTGAGTCTGTTTTAAATTAACACTGTTGTGCCAGGAATAAGAGAAATTAATGAATTAGAAATAAGTGATTAAAACCAAAGTTTCAACTGTAAACTGCTGCCCTCTAATGGGCTGTGATGGCACTACAGGTTAGAGGTGGGCGGTACCGGTATTGGTATCGATACTGATATTGATATTAGATCGATACTAGTGCGAAAGCATCAATACTTTGTTTCTAGCCTTTAACTTAGGTACATAGCCCAATAAATTGTATTAAATATTTTTTTAGAAAAGAAAAAATATATATCAAATATGTTTAATGAAACGTGTCAGTGTTGACTGACGATTGATGTCTATTTTATTTATAGGCTATAGCATGATAAACAACAAAATCTGACCAAAGGCTTATTTACATTCTAGGTCTCAAATACACGTAAAACGCCTAAAAGTGTGTTTTATTGTTTTAACTTATTATTACGGAAAATAAAAATCATCAGTAATTGAAATTGAAAATTACACATCTCATAAATCATAACTTGGTCTTGGAATTGGCCATTTTAAAGTATCGGTATCGACAATAGTAGCCCTGTATTTACTTGGCATCAGATCAATGCTAAAATTTGCAGTCCAGAACCAACACTTCAGGCGGGATGAGTAATCTAATATTTACAATGAAGAACATTTTAATTGTGCATTAATTTTCATTTATTTGACCAGTTTTTGACCCGAGGTCTATTTTTTATTTCACTTAATTGTTTGGAAATTGTAACTGACAGAAGAATTCATCAGTTTTAGAGAAATGGTACTGAAAAGGTGGCAAAAGAAAAGTCTTTCATGGCTAATTATCATCAACAAGCAGCTCACAGCAACAGCAAAATTAATCTATGAAAACGAAGAGAAGTAGCAACAAAAAGCGAGCACCTATTGTTGGTTTTTACAAGTTTGAGAACAGAAGACATCTTAGTGTTGATTAGAGATGTAATTAAGGGTTTGGGCAGACCACAGAGGTTTTTCTGTCCCTAAAGTGGGCTGCAGAAGCCTTGAGTTTGGAATATTAGTCATAGCAGCCTTTACCAACTATAGACCACAGTGTGTAAAGGATTGTATGACTAATACGTTAGCTAAATAACAGGCAGCACTACAGATCTAAACAAAGCCGTGATTAATACAGTAATTCATTAGAATGGGATTAGCTATTCAAGACACATATGGGAAATCAATAGTCACCCCCCCCGGACTACAAAAGATTTCTCACTCTGCACAGCTCATGTTAACACACCATCCCACACACACACACTGATGCATTAGGTAAATATCAGTGAACCCTCTCCTTACATCACATCTAAAAGTGCTTTATTTAAACAGAGATCATTCCTTCTCATAAGGAAGCTAATCTCCTAATAAGGTTAACCTTTCCACCAATCACTTTAGCTTTCATTTCTTAAGTAGACCAGACATCTCCCGGGTGAAGGGGGTGAGCTGTTTTTTTTATCTTTTCTTTTTCTCTTTTAAACGAGCACAATCCATGCAGTAATAACTGCAGTGCTCACTCATATAATTCGATTATGATTTCAATAAATGAGGCATAAAAACAAATTATGAGTCAAAGCTGCGAACTGAACAAAAGCAGCAATTTTTGAAAAGTGTATCTATCACCAAAAAGTCAAAACTAAAACCTCTGAGACAAACCTACTTAATCTCAACAAGAGTGGGCGAGGGCAGCACTCTCCTAAGAAGCACTCAGAGAGGGAAAGCTCTGCCAAGGAAGCTCACTATCTGGCCAGAATGGACTTTTAAGGCAACAGTATTGTATTTTGTATATATTAATTGTTTTCTTTGTTCTTTCGAAACATACTTGAACAAGTTTGTAATGCAGGTAAAAATCAGATAAGAACAGCATGGCTGTTTACAGTGATTACACAAACATTATGTATGTATAATAACTGGAAATGAATTACTTGAGCTCATTAAATTATATAATACTACAGAATATTTATAACTAATTAATCAGCTTATTCTCTTTTTCTTGAGAATACTTGGAGCCAAGTCGAAAGAAAAAAATGAGGTCAGAGGTCAAATGTGACCCACTTATAAGAGTCTTCAAGATCAATCATTAAGTTGATCTTGAAGACTTTGGTGGCTATAAACCAAATTTGATTGACTTGACGTGCCTAAAAGGTTTTACAGGAATTGATTCAAAACTTTTCAATCTATCGTGTTTACAGACAGAATAATGGCGCGCATGCAAACACAACCAAAACCACAACCTCCTTGGTGGATGTAAAAAAAGAATGGATGCAGGATATGTGTGTGTTATTCTGGACACACACAAGAAAATGCGACTTTAAGCGCAGGAAATGTTGGGAACACGTGAGCGCACTGACCTGGTGAGCTTGTCTGTGCAGGACATGGTGATGAGATGTTCACCCTGAAGGACACCGTCCCAGGTCTGGGCGGATCCCCGGCAACGCACCGGCACCGTCCCCTCGCCTGACTCGATTTTAGTCCGCAGGTGACTCCGATGCTTCCTCATTAAGTGTCTGCTGCTGTGCACTGAAAGAATAATGCACACGATCGCAGTTTTACTACTTTACAAAATCATTTCTTACTACACAACACCAGCCAGCGTCATGCAGTCTGCCACTATTGAAGTCGCAGATCTCATCTCTCAGCAGTCAAGATGTCTTTAAATACATGCAAATATACAGCACATCTTAAGTAGGAGTTGAATTGTTTGCATGAGTTGCGAAGCTCTCAGCTGTTACAGTCTGTGTGTATGAAGCTGTGTACTTTCAAAAGGTATAACAGAAAAAGCAGATAAACAAGAAAACATTACTGATATGCAAGTTTAAAGTTTGGAGTAGGGAATTAAACGTATTAGTTTGCGACTGCCTGCTTCCTTACTGCTACTGAAGCAAACACCTCACTGGACTGTTTATGAATGCGTGCGCTGTGATTTTTGGGAGGGAGGAGGTAGCCTTCTCCCTGGAGCGATGCCCTTTTGAAAGTTTCTATTTTATTTTATTCAAACTGACAGAGAAATCCTTGCTTTATTGACACTGTTAGCAAGAGCGCAAGTTCCTTGATTCATTTAAGACAATTACACGTGGTTTAGCGTGGGCGTGCAGTGTAGCATGACCTCCACAGGTGCTGACAGTGGTAGTTAAAGTCAAATGTTTCTTACTGTTTGGATCATGCCTGAGTGCAGTTTGCATGTTCTCCCCGTACCGCTGTAGCTTCTCTGTGTCTCGCTGCGTGTCATCCCTGTGACACTCTATAGCAATATATACGCCTTTGTTGCACTGTGACCAAATGTAGAGGGTGGGCCATTTATATGGATACACCGTAATAACATGGGAACGGTTGGTGATATTAAAGTCCTGTTTGTGGCACATTAGTATATGTGAGGGGGCAAACTCCTCAAGATGGGTGGTGACCATGG